TACTTCTCTTAAAGCCATAGCTACCTCCTTCCATACCTTCATCCTAACGGTACGTCATTCCAGCTCAGCATAGCCTTTCAATAACCCTCGATATCAATGGTCGCTGGGAACGTCTGTGGGGACACATCATCAAAGGATTACATTAAGATTTAATACTCTGCAAGGGATGGGAAGAGAGAAACAACGTCATCTATGACGCCAATGGCCGTTCACTCTACATAAATCAGGGAGAAGGAAGATTTCAAATATTAGAACAGGGCAGGATGGAAAACGAATATACCAGGAAAAAGACTAAATATATCCAAGTTGGAAAACTGGTATCTTCACTCTCATTTTCCGCCCTCACAAAGAAAGCGCTGAATAACCAGCAAGATCTAACACTGGCGTCGGTCTCAATCTCAGATATTAACAAAGCCTTGCAAAAATTTGATCAAAGTCAAAAAACCAACCATCGAATCAGTTAGTAAAAAGCTTCCCAATCAACTCATCGGATTTGAATCCATATTCTTAGACGACGAATCTAATGAACAAATACCCCACAGAATTTGGCACTACATGGAAATTTTCAAATAGATTAACCTCTAATTTAAATATTGTATCATGATGTTTAAGTTGAGTAGTCTACAAGCAAGTAAACTGGGCTGATGCATCAAGGGCAATAACTTAGTCATGCAAATGTTACAATTAGCGACTAGCCGGATGGCCAATTTCCTACGCACAACTCCCTTGTTGATTCACTCCTTCTATCGCCCATGATAATGTAACAGCCAATTTTAGAACCATATATGGAACGGAGATTTGAGCAGTTCGCATGGGCAATCTAACAGACAGTCTATATTTGGAATTATTAGGATATTCAAGATGTAAATAGTACCTAGATAGATTCCTCGCGGTAGAGGACAATAAATTCAATGAACTCTGAGAGAGATTCACATAAGCATAACTTTGCCTAACAGAAATCAAGTTAGAAAAGGATGAAACGACAATGAGAAAAAGCCACCTTATGGACCCCTCTATAAAATTTCAAAAGAAGAATTATTAGTTCTCCGAAAAACCCCAGTAGATCTCCTCGACAAAGTCTGAATACGAGCAAATTCTTCTCAAGCTAGCTCACCAGTGCTTTTGCCAAGAAACCAGGGGGTGGCCTACGGTTCTGCGTCGATTATCGTGGCCTTCATGCAATTACAAAATAAAATCGTCACCCCCTTCCACTGATTCGAGTGACACTACAACAATTAACTAAAGCCCGCTGGTTTACTAAAGCTGACGCTCGCACTGTGTTCCACCGTCTACGGATCAAGGAAGGAGATAAGTGTAATACGGCATTTCGCTCGCTTCAAGGCTTATTTGAGTGGCTAGTTTGTCCTCTTGGATTGTTTGAAGCTCCAGCAACATTTCAACGTTTCATGAATAGCATCCTGCAGGAATTTCAAGATATATTCTGCTCAGCAAATGTTGATGATGTCATAGCCTATTCAGACGGAGACTTAGAAGACCATTACCAGAAAGTATCTAAAGTAATGAATGCACTAAAGATAGCTGGTCTGCAGTTGGACCTTGAAAAGTGTGCTTTTGGGGTAAAAAAAGTAAAATACTTAGGTTTCATCATCGAAGTAAAGATCGGCGTCAAAGACCCCGATAAGGTGCAGACAATTTCTGAGTGGGAGCCGAATAATGTATCACAAGTACGCTCCTTTCTTGGGTTCTCAAATTTTTACCGAGAATTTAATCCTCGTTTCTCTTCAATGTATGAACCACCCAATAATAACCAAGCGAGGTGTGCTATGGCGATGGGATAAACCTGGAGGGCAAGACTGAACACCTGTACGCCGTGTCCTCTACGAACCTGGGAGTGAAATATTCTCCCAGAGCCAAGTTCAGTTAAATTTCGCAATATCAAAGAAGTTGGCCCACGAGGCAAAAATTCAAATTACTCCACCATGTCAATCTTTCACTCCCAAAGAGTCCGATTCTGAACTAAGCTTCATCAAGTCTACAAGTACGACCTAGTACATCCTCGTTTCAATGACCACACCTCTCGTCGACTTTCTCTGGCCTCAGCCGGTCACCAAATACACGCCCACGCCGATATTTATACCCGAAGGAGGAAGCAAAGCGTGGAGCACAAATCTGGGAAATAGCTCTTTGGAATGGACGTGAGAGGAATCTGGACAAGTTTACGAGATGATGCAGAGAAAGGATATTACCTCGAAGGGCGTGAAATCACGAATTTTGGCAAGAGTTTTACGAATTCAGCTTTGTGCGCGCCAAGACTTCGCTTGCGAGAGTGCAGCTGACACTATAAAAACAAGCAAACGATGGAAGGTGTTGTGATCCGCCTCCTGGTGATGTTCTCCGGTATGGTTTGAGTAGCCTGAGCACCTACTCCACTTGGGAAGGAGACATCTCAGATTACATTTCGCGCGGAGAAAAGTTGATGGATGACGGAGGCATGTCTGGATAACTCAGGGTTTTTGAGATGTTCCCCTGGGTGGGTATTCACGGATGAGGGTTGACTTGGGGTGAAGAAAAAGCCACCATAACTTCGCAGTGGTACTTGCAAATGAAATCCGAGGCATGAGTACTCTTCCCTTACGTTGAATCATCTATTCTGTACTTTTCTTTGATATTGTGTCATAGCTAGATAGCTGCATACGCAATTAAAATCTGATGCAAAAAAAAAAAAAGATGGGATAAACCTCAAATGGATGCATTTATGCGATTAAAGGAGATACTAATGAGCACACCAATCCTCACAATGTTTGATTCTGAAGCCAAAACCCTGTTGGAAGCGGACTCATCATCTTATGCTATTGGAGGAGTATTGTCACAAGTAGACGAAAGGAGTGTTATAATTACGAGGTTAGATGGATAAGTATTGTGGTAGGACAGTATATATAGATGTTGTAAATATTGCGCAATATCATGGAACGAAAGTAGAAGTTGAATATTACGGTTTAACCTTTGTTTGAGCTTAGGAGGATACCTAAGCCTGATATCGAGAAAAACAATGAGGCTGTATTGGGCGAGACGAAGCTAAACGAAACGGCACTACTAGTCATGAGGCTGAAGCGTTATCACAACTTAGTGACACCTAGAGATACGTGACTGGGTAAGAAGTATTCTGCCGAAGGACAAGTCACTAGTCTGTAGGTTCACGAGGAGGATCAACTCTTATAAATGCCTGTTAGTAGGAGCTAGAGTTCTCTTTTCTCCTAATATAGTTTATTAAATCGATTTATTCATCACCAACTCAGTTTCCGTCACATTGACTAAAAGATTGACATGTTCGAATTACTGCTAAAAGTGTGGAAAGTGTGCGCTACAAGTACAAGTGTAAGAGACACGCAGCCTAAGCCACAGCAAGAACGAGTGCGGCGCCATCTAGGCATAGAAAACACCCAATAACCTCCTTGTGCCCACGCCATACAGCTGCTCATGTATGCAATAGGTAGCCTGAAGCGCTACCATATTACCCATTCCAACCTCTTAAATACACACAAGATCGTGTCGGGGTCCTTAGAAGAAATGGAGGACCCGCAAGTCCATTATACTCTGTGTCTCTATTTGTGTTTTGTGTTTATTGTACTACTTGAGTCTATGACTATCTAGCACATTGGGCTCCTCTCTGACCCAGGCCACACCTTGTTCAGTGCTCCTTGCCTCTTTTGTTACTTGTAAGATCATTGATATATTGCCCGTGATGAATAGCCATTCAACTCAATGTTTACCCGTGGAATTCAACTACCTTTTCCATGGAACCTTCTACCCAAAAAAAAAAAAAAAAAAAAAAAAAAAAGGTAGCAACGGAAACTGCGAGCGCGAGAAAAAGACTCAAAAAGCCTGCAGCCCCAGCCGGGCGAGGCCCAGATACCGGGATCACTCGAGGTGCGCATATTCATCTACATCTCCCTTCTTTGTAACAGTCGAGGCCAACTTGATCCAATCCATCATCTCCGTATCGCGTGCTGGGTACGCTCCAGAAACTCATCGGATGGCTTTTCCTTCATGATCAAGTATTGGTGATGATAAGGGCTCCGAGCCTGCCATCTGATCTGATCGTGGTTTGCTTCATGTTAATGGTGATAGGGGGTTATGCTCAGGGATGAAGACAGTGCAGACGGCGCAAGCGATTGGGAATCCTCGTCGAAGTGAGGACTTTGTTACTCAAACTCGGCCCTGCGGACTCTACAGTGGGAGCTGGAGATTCTTAGGGGACACCACTGACAGGTGTTGAGAATAATCCTCCTTTTTAGACATAGTCATCCGCTGAAATGCTAGTGTGAAATAAATATCATTGCGTATTAAACTTTCAGCGAGGAAAGTATTGATGAAAATAATATGGGATGGCGAATTTAGTAGTCTAATTAGCCAGACTTACAAATAAGTTATTCTTGGCATTCTGAGTTATATCATTTTTCAACATAAAGAATAGCGAAAGACTATCAATATAGCTCTTTATGTAGTAGTTATTTATCAATTCACCTTAATTTAATATTAGTTCCCAAAAATATTGAAGTATGTAAAATTATAAATGGAAGAAGGAAAAACACCAAAGAGCTGAGTAAGAAATAAATTATTAATCTAGATTTTCCTGGGACCAATAGAAAAATATGACTTCGATTGCTGTTACGTTTATACAACTGAAGTATCACGTCTCAGCCAATACATCCAAGTTGTCCTATCCACAATAAATTCCCCATTAAACAAACTAATATCAAAACTGTATCATTTTTTCTATTCAGCCACGTATTGATTATAGAGACTTATATCTCAATTGAATAGCAATACAGAGGTTATTCCTTAGAGTCGATAAAAATATCAGTGCTATGCTGGGTTAGGTGGCCCATACTGGTGCCGTTAGCTAGCTACTTTTCTATCCAGAGATTACCTATGCAGAAATAATCATGTTTGAACACTGAATATATGGCTGGTCATCTAGGCCACGTTTCAAAATTCGTTGATTTTAACTGCATTATTTTACCCAGTGTCCGCTTTCTTTACAATTGTCCCCAGACTTCAGAGATAGTTGCACTTAATGTCGATGCGACCTTCCTCCGTCCAAATAGATTGTGCATACTACCTGATACGAGATTCGCTTTCTTTTTTTTGGCTTCTTCTATACTAGTCTCTTCCTCATCGATCTGACGATAGGCGTCTGTGAGCTCAAAAGGTGTTCTCCATCGTTTTTGGATCTCCAAAGCCTTTTCACCAGTCACTCCTCTTGTACACATCAACATTTTAAGATAAAGGTCTCGAAGTGTCAGAATGTCAGTTTTTGACATAAGGCATGCGAACGCTGGGTAGGTAATATGATAATCAATGCCAGGTTCTGTTTTTCTTTTCTGTGTTATAAGAGGCAAGTATGTAGTGGTCGATAGAACACTGGTGGGAATGATATGTAAGGGCTCTTTCTCGTATTTTTTTTGTAAGGCTTTGCTCATGCTAGCAAGATAATCAAGGGTTTCTTCAATCCCTTGAGTTTTCTTGAAGAAGTAGCCATTTACAACCTGCACACCGGCGATAGCAGATTTGACAGCTGCTTCCATTTTGCTGTACACATCCGGTGGCACGGGATTATTTTCAACCAAATAAATAACATTTTTAATACCAGACCTCCCTAATCTAAACTTTTGTTCGTGAAACCGCTTATCTTTAATAGAAGTTATTAGGTCATCAAGTCTTTTTCTTTCTACTATGTAATCTAGTACGATTTCGTCGCCTTCTACACCAAGACTAGACAAAAGATTTGGGTCATTCATTTTAGCAATCCAAGTAAAGTCTCCTAGTTCCATGACTCGCTTTATTGGCTTAGCTTCTCTCTTGATGAGCTCGTCCTCGATAAAATCTCGGTCTCTTCTTGAGCGGACTTCCCGGGTATCCATAATCATTTCCACGGTGAAAGATTTAGGTTCTATAACGATTGGGGTAAAGCTTGGAAGACTAGAGTTGCATGTAACTTCCTGACCGTTAGGAACAACATCAGGCACGGCAATTGGGCAAGTGTTTCCAAAAAGGTCATTTTGTGAAGTGTCTGCAAGAATACTTGAATCCTCGACGGAGAAGCCCTGCTTTGCACTAGATAGATTTACCTCTGCACTCATGTCAGAGTGAAGACTCTTTTGTATACCATGTGCACATTTCCATCCTAAAGGAGTCAAGGCGTATTTCGTGATACCTCCTTTCATCTCATGCACTAATTGCTTCTCGATAAGCATATTCATAGATTTCCACGCCGTGTATAGCTTGGTCGAATCGCTTGGTATGACATACGATGCATCGCAGTGTGGTTGAGCTAGAGAAATAGCGTCTTGTTTTGTTATGTACGATGGTGGCTCGTCACGTAATGTGGCCAAAGCCAATATTAAACCGTATCCCCCTGATCGATATTGTGGCACATATACCTTTGGTTTTCTCGGCTTCTTTCGTGGTGGGGTCGTAGATTCGATTCGGCCTTGGCTTTCTACATCTGAGTTCCTTTTATGTTGTTTATGAATGACAGCTTGCTTAGGCTTGGGCAGAGAATTTTCCTCACAATATCTCTCCATCTTCGCAGTTAATCGGGCACACATGGTATCCCCTATACCGGTTAATTGTTTGGCTTCTGAAGGATGTGAGAATGAGATTGGGTTTGCCAACAGCGAATCATATGCTTTCTTATAAATTTGAACGCTTTTAGAATTTCGTGTCCTAGCTTCTTCGAGCCATTCAGCAACCCAGCGAAGCAAAAGTGGATTTGCACATTCAGTCATGATGGAAGACATGGAGTACGACGAGCTTCATGAACCTAGGTCGTATTAAGAATAATAAAATGTTGAGCAAATATTCCGATAGCAAAAATGGAATGATTGAATTTGCAGGAGCGAAGCAAATAGCTGGATCGTTATTGGAGCATGCTCATATAGACTGCCGTAGGGCACTCCTTTTTCGTCCTACTCATAGCATTCATTCATGCTACGAGAGAATTACATGAGCATACAACTGGTTGGCGACATCACTTCAAGGGAGCGGCGCTTGTGAAAGTAAACAACGTTTCGGGCTCGAGCGTTTAGACCGGGTAATACTACGGTGACGGGCGAACGCCAGAAAAGCAGTTTGACCTGAACAATTGTCATGTGATGTTTTTATTGTATTAGTTGAGTCTCGAACTATCTGGCACATTGGGCTCCTCTCTGACCCAGGCCACACATTGTACAGTGCTTCTTACCTATCATGTACCTTGAAAGATAATTGATATATTGCCCATGATGAATAGCCATTCAGCTCAATGTTTACCCGTGGAATTCAGCCACCTTTTCCATGGAACCTTCTACCCAAAAAAAAAAAAAAAAAAAAAAAGGTAGCAACGGAAACTGCGAGCGCGAGAAAAAGACTCAAAAAGCCTGCAACCCCAGCCGGGCGAGGCCCAGATACCGGGATCACTCGAGGTGCGCATATTCATCTACATCTCCCTTCTTTGTAACAGTCGAGGCCAACTTGATCCAATCCATCATCTCCGTATCGCGTGCTGGGTACGCTCCAGAAACTCATCGGGTGGCTTTTCCTTCATGATCAAGTATTGGTGATGATAAGGGCTCCGAGACTGCCATCTGATCTGATCGTGGTTTGCTTCATGTTAATGGTGATAGGGGGTTATGCTCAGGGATGAAGACTGTAGAGACGGCGAAAGCGATTGGGAATCCTCATCGAAGTGAGGACTTTGTTACTCAAACTCGGCCCTGCGGACTCTACAGTGAGAGCTGGAGACTCGTAGGGGACAGCACTGACAGGTATTGAGATTAGTCCCCCATCAACACGTTGTGATCTCTCCCCTGACTCAAGTACATACCAAAATAGTGTTGTGATAAAAACAAAATTATGGATATTGTGCATTTCATGTCTTAAAATTTTTTATCTCAGCAGTAGGCCAGAGACTTGGAGGGAATTTATTGATTTTTCTGGCATGAAATCTTCGAGAAACTTAGGACGAAGAAGGGGGGTAATTGATACTTTAGTAAGTCTGAATACATTGATGGAGACGATAAATTTGACCACTAAACCCCTCATCAACCCAGCCACATAAGCAGAAGAAATCCGGGTGATTGCTTCCGCGGGCAATAGGCACGCCGGGCAAGGCTAAAAAAAGCAAACTTGCGGCCCTTGTAGTCGCGTGTTGCGCGGCGGAACGACGCTAAAATAATAAATCAATCTAATAAGTAACCGGAGGCAAGCGAAGTATATTCTTGACAAATTATTTGCCGTTCCATTTTCCTGAGACCTTCCACATCCCATCTATTCAACAGAAGAAAGCACTCAAGCAAGCTCACCATGGCAGATGAACCCATGAAAGGAATGGAGCACTCGGAAGTGCACTACTTTAATAGGTTTGTCGTGCTTCTTCAAATGTCATTAGATCACCCATACCTAACTTCAACGCAGTTATAACCATCATGGTATGTAGATTCAGCTCATTTTCACAAGAATACGCTAAAACGGTAAACAGGTATACATGAAGAGATGTTGGTTTGTTTTTCACTCGCCATTCTCTCATAGTCATTAATAAATACTAGAAAGATGAGGTTCGGACCAGGTCCTACATGAATGCAATAATTCAGAACAAGCATTTGTTCAAAGACAAAATTGTTCTCGATGTCGGTTGTGGAACGTCGATACTCTCTATGTTAGTTATTACACTAACAGAGGGAATATTCTAAGTGTGATAGGTTTGCCGTACGCGCCGGGGCAAAACATGTTATCGGTGTCGATATGTCCACCATCATTGAGAAAGCTCGCGAAATTGTCGAAGTAAATGGTATGTCTGACAAGATCACACTTCTTCAGGGCAAAATGGAAGAAGTAGAGCTTCCTTTCCCCAAAGTCGACATAATTATCTCAGAATGGATGGGATATTTTTTGCTATATGAGTCTATGCTTGACACAGTTCTATATGCTAGGGACAAATACTTGTCGCCTAACGGTCTCATATTTCCCGATAAAGCGACCATATTTATGGGTGGTATCGAGGATGGTGAATACAAAGAGGAAAAAATCGGCTGTAAGACTCCCCAACCGTCAAAATTTCATCTTTTAATTCTCAACAGTTTGGGATAACGTATACGGTTTCGATTACTCTCCTCTGAAGTTTACTGCTTTGACTGAACCGCTCGTCGACACGGTCGAAATAAAAGCAGTTGTCACAGATCCCACAGCTGTTCTAACACTTGATCTATATACTTGCACGACTGCTGACTTGTCATTTTCCACACCATTCACTCTTGAATGTCGCCGTAATGACTTTGTGCATGCTCTCATCGCATGGTTTGATATTGACTTCACAGCTTGCCACAAACCAATCCGCTTCAGCACAGGGCCCCACACCAAGTACACCCATTGGAAGCAAACAGTTTTTTATCTCAAAGATGTGTTAACTGTTCAGGAAGGAGAAAAAATAGAGGGTGTGCTCGAGAACAAGCCTAACGACAAGAACAAGCGGGATTTAGATATTAATATCAGCTATAAACTTGTTACGGACGATGAGATTCGTAGAGCTGAAGGTTGCTGCAAGTACAAAATGTGTTGATGAGGTTTAGCCTGCCCTGAATTGGGGATAACCGACGAGTCTAAACAAAAAGGGTAAATACTCAGTAAGATAAATGAGAGGTGCCCACATCTGCGAGTTTGGCTCTTCTAAAAACACCTATCCTGCCAGACCCAAATCATATGTATCGCGACGAAAATGAACTATGGGTCAAAGGCGTTTAGATGACAGCATAGCTTGGCTTCATGGAATGAAAATTTTTTCCACAGTATCACCAACTATCTGGAGAGGATCTTGACCCAGTTTATCGACTTAATGTCCAAATTATCCAACTATTTCCAATTAAAGTTGTTGCACTAGTTAAGTAGCAATAAAGTGACTCGGTATAAACACATAAAATCATTAATTTTTATGAAATTAAGGCATTTGCATGGAATACAACGGTGCTCGCAAGTAAATTCAATTTCTATTGTCGCCCTGTATCGACCTTTTTTTTGTATCTACAAAGATTAGGTCTAGTTCGAGATGGAGATGGCAAAACTAGCTAGACCCTATAAGCCTGGGGTCAGCAGGATAACTCTTCCGTAACACACTGCAGAAATGTAGGCAGCTCCAGGTTATCAAAACATCTGTTGCCTCTTGCAGAAAATAATTTTAAAGTTTTATTGACCGTCACAATTATAATAACTACAACCAAGATGTTAGAAATTGTACGCCAGAAAATCTTTACTCCAGCGCTCTAGAAGTAATGGATTTTGCCAACAAAATTTTCGGAAAGACAACTTAATTTGTCGATCTTGGACATTATTTTGACACTTAGACGGCCCGACCCTAATATCATGATTATGATGATCAAACCTAATGCGAATGACACAGCAACTGACGGTGTCCTAAATAATGCATGTCCGTGCCCCAAATTACATTTCTTCCCTGTAACTTAAAACGCTAAAGAAGCGAGATTCTGAGGAGTCAAATTTGGGAATAATAGGATTACGATAGCAACATTGGCCAGGAGGAGCCAAGTAAATAATATTGAGAGTTAAGAATCAAAGTTCTACGAGACATTATCCGTCATCACCTCTGCTGTATCTGTCACATACGGGCCAGAACGTCATCCTACAACCACAGTGACTTAAATTTACATGGGATGTGTAAAGGATGTGATGAGGGAGATGATACTGTGATAAAATATTGAAAATGTGGTTAAGGACATTTAGAATATACGAAGTAAAATACCTACGAATAAAAATGTTAACAAAACTGACATTGTTGGAAGGACTCTGTTAAAGAAGGGTATAAACCTTTGGACTGTAGGTAGAGATAGCTTATCATTGCATAAATTATTAGATGTGGAGAGATAAAAACTAGATAAATTGGGAAATAGAGAGGAAAAATGAATAATTCACACTACAAATTTTAGATTTTTCACTTTCTCGCTCGCTTCATTACCTAAAATTCTTCGGAATCAAAAATTCTTAGGCCATTATGAGGCAACTTATTTGATAGATAGTGATTGTATTTGTTCAGAAGGAATTCAGTTGCAGGTCTACATTGTTAATACTAATGGCTCCTGCCGAACTTATAAGACGAGCAGGATTTAGTTGCGTTCAGCTTATTACTTTGCCGAAGATTTCATTTTAACTGACACAACAGACCTACTGATGGCGAAGGCGAATACCGCACAGCAGTGCTCTACACGAAATTTGTGGTAAAATATACTGACACAACCGAGTTTTCGTTGAGAGGGATTGTGTTGGCATGCTTTCGGTCTAAAACTATAACTACAGAGATTTCACGAAAATCAATGGAATCTACTTTCTTCTTCAAAGATCTTTCCCAATCAGACTTATCTCGCCACAGCTGCCACGCGCTGTGAGGCATGGTGCAAATGGCGGCTTAAATTAATCTATACATTAGCCAAGGGCACCAACAACCCAACCTGCAATGAAGCACCAACGACGTGACACTCATAGAATTTCGCAGGCGTATCAATCATAGAATTTGACAGGCTGGATGAAAGGTGCCTTGTACAGGAGCTCTTCGATGCATATTTGGCCTCTACGATCAGGATATCAGATAACAAGGAGCCTGACCTGCGACAGGCGAGGTGTATTTGACAGTTATGAGCCCGGTTTTATGCACAACATCTAATTGAAGTTTGTAACTGAATCATGCTTGCTAAAATATATTTCTCTTTAACTTTACACGTCAGGAATCTTACATCAACAATAAAAATGACTTCGTTCAAGTCTGGTTCGTTAACAAGGGAGACATGTCTCGAATGGATAGACAGGGTTGAAGGTTATGCCACCAACAACGCTATTTGTGTTGGAAATGGAGACACGGAGTGTTGTAGACGTACGGGCCCTCCATTTCGTCTACGTTACCGACACGATCTTCTGTGTATTTAAGAGGTTGGAATGAGTTACATGGTAGTGCTCCAGACTACCCATTGGATATATGAGCGGCTGTATGGTGTGGGCACAAGGAGGTTATTGGGGGTTTTCTATGCCTAGATGGCGCCACACTCGTTTATGCTGTTGAGGTTTCTGGGCGCGCGTTGTGTACCTAATAAATGGTGGGTGTGTATGTCTAAGAATGAAATGTTATCACGTGGTGTCTCGTGGCTCCTAACTACAATGGATCTTGTGTAGAGCTTGAGACTGATACGTGAATTCTATTTCTCCTGAAATGTAGGATATCTATGCGCCTATATACATCAATACTCTGTTACCCCTCAGCTGCAGTAAAATCTGCTCTTGTGACTATGCAATCTGATCGTGTGAGATCATAGGGCACTAGCATTTTGTCTGTGTGCCGTACATTCAAAATCTGATCAGTTCGTGACAATGTAGATCTTTTCAGGATCCACACTCTGGCTTAGGCTATGTTTTGTTTTGTATTGTTCATTTACGTGCTAGGTATAGTAATTCCCGTCGCACTCCTACTGGAGCATAAGCACGAGTGGGGCCGAGCCGGATCAGGTTGTCAACCGTACAGTGCCTCTAGGTTGGAAAAGGTAAAACTTCAAGCTGGGTTATTTGAGGGAAGAGCCCTGTAGGCGCAGCTAGGCTAGCTCGTAATAGGTTAGACTGTCTCTCCTCCTTACCCCGCTCGCCATGAAGTATGGTCCAATCGTCTTCTTCTAATAATAGCTTAGAAAAACACATTTTCAACAACGCTTTTGACTGCCTAACCAACAAAGCCACTGAATCTTGACATCACTATCAATCCATCCTCTATTCTATCAAACAATGTCTCTCGAAAGTCTACTTCAGAAGCTAAAGTTTGCAGGCATCCAACTCGCGATCAATGTATTGAAATAAGAAAATTAAGAAGACTTGGCTTGACATTACAACATATATCCGACGCACTTGGCTATACAAGAAGGCAAGTGCAATTTGCGTGTGCTCGAGAGACTGAGAGTCCTATACCTCGCAAAGGATGCTCACCTAAATTAATCGCGGAACAAGTTGATGAGCTTGAGACTTTCGTCCGGGAATCTCCTGAGAATCGACACATATGCTATTTGGAGCTAGCCATGGGGCCCTTCAGCCACTGGGGATGCAGTGAACGTCTTATTTCTAATTCACTCAAAAAAGGAGGTCACAGCAGACGCATTGCCCGGAAGAAGCCTCCGTTAAGTAAGGTTAACTTGGACGAAAGATGTTTAGCGGTGATAAAGGAAAATGGAGGGTGCACAAAGTATTAGGATGGAGCAGACTAATTCAAATCATGTAGTACGCTTTCATTTTACTTGTGAGCCAAACTGAGGGCTTCGATGTAGACTTTTGTAATACAGAGCAATAATTTTCAAATAGATGTGTAACTTTCGAGAATATCAATTGATTTTTTAAATTCTGAATTTTAAACTAGGACCATTGTACTTTTCCCATAGAGTTGAAAACTATTCCCATAATTTAGACTTTCACGGAATGTCATTGGATAGTATTCCTGCTTGCATAACTAGTCGATAAACTAGACATGGGCCTGCATGAAGACGAAACCAATCTAATCGATATGCCCAGGGATCTTACCCCAGTCATTTTGGCAATTTTACCTTTGCCATCCTTAAGAGACTGTAAAGTACAAGTGCCTCGTCCCACCTAAATGACTGGACCACCTCAGACTTCTTTTTTTTTTTTTTAAATCATTTGATGTGTATTCAGCTATCTAGCTATGACGCATGACAGGTGCTATGTATACATGTTGGATAACTATTTTGTTGTTAAAGACACTCATACTTTGTATTTCATTCGCAAATACCACTATGAGGTATGCTTGCTTACACAAACAGTCGATCCTCCTCTATAAGTACCCACCAAAGGGAGATTCAAAACATTTGGTTATCCAAGCATACCTTCGTCATCCATGCATACCAGCGCTGCGAGAAAAGTGGTTGTGTTTTGCTGAATTTGAACCAGTGATCTACTGTCTCGAATGGGATATGTGTCCAAGCTATCCAGAATCTACTTGGCAGACCGGCCAAGACGATGTACCACCGCACCATCCAACCTTGGCGGTTTTTAAGTGTCGCCCGCACTCTCGCAACCGAAAGCTTGGCACGCACAAAGCTCAATTTGTAAAAACTCCTTGCCAAAACTCAAAATTTCACGCCCGTCGAAATTGAATCCATTCTTCGCATCATCTTGTTAACTTGTCCTGAATCCTCTCACGCCATTCCCAAGAACTCTCTCCCAGATTTGTGCGCCACGCTTTGCTTCCTCCGTCGGGTATAAATATCGGCGTGGGCGTGTATTTGGTGGTCAGCTGAGGCTAGAGAAAGTCGACGAGAGGTGTGCTCATCGGAATGAGAATTTACTAAGTCATACTTGTAGACTTGATGAGGCTTAGGTAGGATTCGATCTTTTTGGGAGTGAAAGATTGACGTGGTGGAGTTATTTGAATCATTGCCTCATGGGCCAACTTTTTCGGTATTGCGAAATTTGACTGAACTTAGCTCTGGGAGAATATTTCACTCCCAGGTTCGTAGAGGACACGGCGTACAGGTGTTCAGTCTTGCCATCCACCCCAGCCTTCATCCATGTGTTGAATCATGACAAGCCCAACAGTCCAGAGAACCCTTTTTGGCGCGCCGAAGCGCAAATTCCTCCTCAACGTCGGTCACCACGCGCCCGAGCCCTTGACACCTTCGCTATCTGTAACCTTCCCCTTCGAATCATTCCCAGCTTTAGCTCATCTCATGCAGGGGTCGTTTTCTTAACTGGAGCTTAGGCTATGTGTCGCTTACACTTTTACTTTTAGCGCACAATTCCATCTCCTTTAGCTATCACCGAACATGACACTCTTTCTGCAATTTCTCCTCTCGTTCCACAAATATTGCGCTCATTTCATTGCGCGGCACTTCCGATAATTTGGCAGTTTATCAATCCTGCAAGTAGTATCCAAAATTTCGGGCCCAGGAAACCTATCTCTTCAGACTATGTTGCGACTGCAGAAAAATTTGCTGATTTAGACGATGGCGATAAGCTAATATTCAGAAGAGACAATGCTGGGTACAGAGTCAATAACCAAACATAAAAACATGATTCTTGGCTGATAGGCAAATTGGGAGAAAAAGAATTTGTGTTGGTTCCACTCAGTTTGGATATTGCGACCTCAGGCCATTAGGCTCGGCAGACAATAGTAGCTGATTAATCGAGAGAGGCCTGTGCGTCTCATCTAATCCACATAGGTTCGAAACACCCTAGAGAGATGCAGTAATATATATACAATTCAGTGCACTCTATTTCCATTCCCCAGCACTAGCTCTTAAGTCCTGTCAATAATTTTAGTCAATTAATGTTCATCACCGAAAGTTAATGTATGAAAATATGACCTGCCGTGAAGTTCTCAACCAGATCAAAAATAGGTCTGAGCTAGCAGAAGATATGTAGCAACTAAGATTCATTGACGACTATGCTAAAGCTACAATTTCACCTACACATAGACTAGATTAGATTTATTTTATAGTCCTAACTGAGTCAATGGCTATGGAGGACTCCTAGAATCTATATAAAAGATACTAACTACATTTTTCCTTTCCAATTTTACAATTTTTAACTATGTTCTCTTGGACAGTGAGGGTCAAGCCCCATGTCACCTACACAGAAAAACGCAGACTTTTGGTTAATGGAATGGGAACGCATATAAATAATGATAAAAAGACTAGAGGTTGCTGATTTCAACGACTACAAATTATTCCAAGATTTTATCACCAAGGCAAGCTCACTTCTTCAAATGTGGGTCTTGGGATTGCCTTCTGTATAATCTCCATGTATAGAGATGACCAGATTAAAGTGTTCTGTGATTCTGGTAGGGTCTTTTGGTCGAGTGATTCTGCAACTATATCATGCTCAATGTTGGATGACATCCTCTCGCCTGATAATGTCGTCCGTGGCTGTTACGGTTCGACCGTTGTTTGAGCTTCGGCGGATACCTAAGCCTAATATCGAGAATCCTTACAATGAGGCTGTATTGGGCGAGACGAAGCTAAACGAAGCGGCACTACTAGTCAGGAGGCTGAAGCGTTATTACAATTTAGTGACACCTAGAAATACGTGGCTGGGTAGCAAGTATTGTGCCTAAGAACAAGTCACTAGTCTGTAGATTCATGAGGAGGTTCATCTCCTATAAATGCCTATTAGTAGGAGCTAGAGTTCTCTTTTCTCCTAATATAGTTTATTAAATCGATTTATTCATCACCAACTTGGTTTCCGTCATAGTGATACTTCATCTCGATCTGCTATCCATACGTTACTCTGGCAGTGTATGTGTTTGTGTTTATTGTACTACTTGAGTCTATGACTATCTAGCACATAGAGCTCTTCTCTGACCCAAGCCACAACTTGTACAGTGCTCCTTGCCTCTTTTGTTACTTGTAAGATCATTGATATATTGCCCGTAATGAATAGCCATTCAGCTCATTGTTTACCCGTGGAATTCGGCCACCTTTTCCATGGAACCTTCTACCCAAAAAATCAAAAAAATAAAATGGTAGCAGTGGAAACTGCGTGTGCGGCAAAAAAGTCTCAAAAAATCTGCAGCCTCAGCCAGGCATACGAGCCCTAATTGTCATAGCTAAATAGCTGAATACAAAATGAGTTAAAAAAATAAATAAAAGGCCTAGATACCGGGAGCACTCGAGGTGCACATATTCATATTCATAATCATCTACATCTCCCTTCTTTATAACACTAGAGGTCAACTTGATTCAATCCATCATCTCTGTATCGGGTGCTGGGTACGCTCCGGAGACTCATCGGATGGCTTTTTCTTCATGACCAAGGGTTGGTGATGAGTAGGGCTCCGACCCTACCATCTGATATGATCGTGGTTAGCTTCGTGATAATGGTGATAGGGGAATGTGTTGAGAAATGAAGACGATACAGACAGCGCAAGCGATTGGGAATCCTCGTCGAAGTGAGGACTTTATCACTCAATCTCGGCTCTGCAGACTTTACAGTGAGATCTGGAGGCTCGTAGGGGACACCACTGACAGGTGTTGAGAATAGCCCCCCTTCAAACTACATTGCTTAGTGTGAATGGGACGAAAATTTCTAGTCTATTCGCAATATGAGCACTGGCATCGGAGTCTGCTATCCAAGAATCATGAGACCAAGAGTAAGAAGTTAAGTGAGTATATTCAGCGGGAGTTTCTTTTTCCAGAGCCATGTGACTATAATAGAAGATATCTTGCTCGACTACCTGTGCACCATCTTCTGAGGGGTTTTTTCCTATTTTCCGCTCAGCTTCCTGTTTCTTTCTTCTAGCAATCTGCCGTGGCCCTTGTCCTTCTTTACCACTACCCATGCCATAACTTTCCTCCATCAGATGTCCTGGTTTCTTACAGTTTGAGCAATATTTTCTGGGGAATGTAATATTCGCATCCTTAGATTTGTTTTCTTGACGCATTTCTTCTTCGAAAATTTTGTTGGTCACATATCTAGAGTCTGCCTGCTCAAAGTCCTTAATTCCTGCAAAAATTGTAGCAACACAACTGTCATACGATGGCAGAAGGTGTTTGCTCATCACTATGTCAAGTAAATGATTGTCTATGCCAGACCCATTTCTACCAATTCCATGTGTATTGTCAGGATATCTCCAATATGTTGTCGCACTGATACACGCTCGATACATCTTTTTCTCCTGAATTGCCAAATCATGTCTACTTGTCGAATGACCTAATGACTTAATGACCTTTTGTAAGCAGACTTATGCAAGCATAAGTCTGAACCCAGCCCATAAGCGAAAGTACGATCTACACAAGCACACATCGGTCTAGTAGTGATGATCAGGGGCGTTATTAGGGTAGAATTAGATATTATAGTGCTACGAGTCCATCGTGGCAAGGAGACAACTAATCAATTCATTCTTGTATTCGCTTTTACCTTTTCACGATTCACGTGACATTCGCACGAAGACCTCTCTAAGTTTTACATGGTAGCATTATTCTTGGTTGATTAAAACGAAAATTCGACGGTAGAAGACTCATCTGAAGCTTTGTTATATCGTGGACGAATTGTTTGTGACATTTTTAGAGAGGATTCTTAATCTTGTGAAATGTCAGCCTTCGGATTATCGAAGGCGGATCGGGAAATCGCTGCCCAAGGCACCGATGTAAATCAGACCGCTGTGGAAAAGAAGCGATCGGGTAAAAATGTTGCTGGCCGCACTGGTAATGTGCCGGGAAACTTCAGCAATGAGTCCGACTTGGCATCGAATGATGGCAATAGCGAAAGCTTGAAGTCTGGATCGAAAGGCAAAGGCCCCGACAAACAATACAACGAAAGAAAGTTTCTGAGCAAGCTACATCTTCAAAACCGTCGTATCGATATGGTGAAGGAAGAGACCCACAAGATGACGACGAAGATGCAGGTGCGGGTTGGGATCGGCCTGCCGGGACAGTCCCAAGGAATGGAAGTAGAACCCTGCTGGAATGGAACCTTTTTGACTGGAAACCACCCCAGTCGGACTTCTTAAGAGGAATTGGAAATTGGTCAATGTACCGAGAGGCGGTTTTACTACATTTAGAGTGCATTGGGTACGAACCTGGCATGAAGTTGACACCGTTAGACGAGGTGAGACTCGCAGCTGTCATTCAGAGAACCACAACAGCAGAAACCAGGAGCCTAGTCATGGGTATGAAACGAGGCACAGAAATGATGAGTTGTTCGAAAGAACCTATCGGCAAGTTGGCGAAATACAACAAGAAGTGGTTTGGGGAAACCTCATTGCTCTCAAATATACAGGAGGGTGTCCCGTAGAATATGTGACGAAATTCAAAACGGCCGTGAGGGACTATATTTCCACAGGTGGGACTCTAGCTGAGAAACAAATCTCGATAATCTTCAAGCAATCAACGAAGGAAAAAGCTAGAAGGTGGAATTCCATGGTCTCCACAATAGCACGTTTTCAAAGCTGGTCTGTAGATAATCTCTTACAAGATTTCACAGCTCATCACTACAACAGAATCGGCCAGTCATTCAAGGAAGAGAATGTCAGAAAGCAAGAGCCGATGAAAAAGTTTTTGAACAACGCCCAAGGTGAACAAAGTGCGGATGACCAAGCAAAGTCAGCAACGAAAGGGAAGGTCAATAACCCGAAGAAGAAATCTTCAATCCGCTGCTACAACTTCAAGAAAGAAGGGCATATTGCCAAAAATTGTCCTATGAAAAAGAAAAAGGTAACCAACTCCTATGCTGCAAATGGACAGACAGCGAATGATGTAGGCCCACCAGCTGCAATAGCCAATGAATATTGTCAAATTCCCGAAGAGTATTCCGCAAATACTTACGTTGCTCAAGTAGACCCATTAATCTACGAAGATATGGTTAAGTTTTACGACAATGAGATGGCACGACGGCATGGCGAGTCCATTGCTGAACAGGGACCGTCCAATTCAGAAAATGTAGGAGCCTCCATTCAATTCACACAGCAAATTCTCAGTGCCTCTGGAGAAAGTGGAGTCAAAAACCGTTGGCTTTTTGATACTGGCGCTGACGTGGACGCCACTAACAATCGTAGAAACTTCAAACCCGGCACAGTGGTAGAGCTAAAGCCAAATCAATTTCCAATCCAAACTGGGGGTGGTATTGTATGTGCAGAATGTGTAGGGGAAGTTTGGCTGTCGCTCACTGGACCTGGTGGTAAACAAACCTCGATGAGGTTGAAATACGTAGTATACTTGAAAGCCTTTCCTTTGAATATCATCAGTGGAGAACGTTTCTACCGCAGTGGTGGTTTTCTGGACAAGAATAAAATCGTCAGCCCTAGCGGTGAAATATTGTCATACATAGATGCAGAACGACGAGGATTTTTCTTGTGGCTGTTAAATCAACCTGAGCCTTTGAAATTGACAGGTTACAAAAAGGACGTAAACCTAACTTCCGTGGACAGCGAGCAAAGCAACAAAAATAAGAGCCTCGCTCAAAGCCTTGAAGAAAAAGAGTTTCGCCAAGCCTATCAAGAGTGCTGGAAAAACGGTGTATTCGAAGTGTCCGATGACGTAATGAGACGCCTGATCCTATGGCATAGGCCTCTATGCCATCCAAGCACCGAGCGACTTAAATGGACTATCAAGAATACAGTTGGAATCGACCTGACGCCATGGCAAGTCGAAAGTTTGCCGTGCGAAGCATGCGATATGGGAAAGTCTCTTAAATATAAGACTTTTGAACGACGGCCTCGAATGAAAAACGTCGGAGAAGGCTGGCATTGTGACGTGGGAACCTTAAACCCAGTAACAATGGAAGGTTATGGGTATTTTTGCCTCACAACAGATGACATTTCCAGGTATAGGATATTTCGTGCGTTAAAGAAGAAAAGTGATGCTGCCGATGAACTTAAGTCAATTCTGTCAAAGACAAACTCAGAATTAAGACAGCGTCACGGGCGTCGAGTAAAAAGATTAACGATTGATGGAGGTCGAGATTGGGGTCTGAACACCCTCCAAAAGTTCGCGGCAAAAGAAGAAATTGAAGTGATAATTTCTGCACCAAATAACCAGTATCAGAATGGCGTGTCAGAGAGGGGTATCCGCTTCGTACAAGATGCAGCAAGATGTTGCAGTATTCAGATGAAAGTTCCATCGGTCTTCTGGAATTATATGTTAGAAATGGTGTATTACACCTTAAACTGCACATCCCAAGGTTCTGTAGAGAACAAGAAAACACCTTGGGAAGTATATTGGTCTCAGATCGACCCCGACTGCGCGAAAACCAAGGTCGACCATTTGTGGATACCTGGCACTCTTTGCATTACACATGTTGACGCAAGTCATCGTATTGCAAGCGAAAAACTCGACGGTAACGGCACCAAAAGTGTCTTCTTTGGTTACAGAGGAAGAAAAAATAAACTTGTCTGGCTACTTGATGGTGGGAGGTTTATCGTGTCGCCTCATGTTACGGCGTATGAAAACGTTGGTCCGGGCCTTGGTTGGGCAGCAGACCCCAGAGAAGTTTTCCGATCGCTGACAAAGCATGTTCAAGATAGACTTAGGTCTAGAAAGCAGGATTATGCAAGAAACGAGGATTACAAAGTACCTCAAGATGAAGAACCACAGCCAATATTGCCAAGAGGGCGTGGCCGCCCCAGACGCGCCATCCAGCGGCCCTACGAGGGTCAGCAGTTGATATCTCTCAACGCTCCTCTGAATATGGACAACGAGATGGCAATAGTGCTCCATGAACTTGATACATCCGAAAATCCTATTATCTACTCTAAGAAAATACGTGACCCAGTAACGGGACGAGACTTTGGGAAAATTAATTTATCTTTCCCATATGAGGAGATGAATTTATCGGAATTGACAAGAAAAGCCCTAGATAAACAGGAATTTAGTCTGCACAACAACGGTGATGAACTCTTTCGAATATTGGTGAATTACCCATCTATCTCATCGCACATGGTAAAATCATCAGTAGACGAACCTTCGTTTTCAGATGCAATGAAAAGTAACAATAGATGCGAGTGGATAAAGGCCATCAATTAAGAAATTAATGGTTGCTTGTCTAGAGGAACCTTTAAGTTCGTAGCTCGAACAGTCGTAAGAGATAGAGGGCGCCTTGTAAAATCAAAATGGGTGTTGAAAAATAAATACAAATCGAACATGGAACTCGATAAATATAAGGCCAGAGTGGTAGCTAAAGGATTTACCCAGACAAAAGGTATTGACTTCAATGAAACCACATCAACAACAGCAAGGTCAGCCAGTTGGAGATGTCTGATGGCATTGGCTGCAATCAAGGGTTGGTACATTCTTCAAACTGATTTCATAGCTGCATACCTTGCGGGTGACTTGAAGGAAACCATCTTTATGGAGCAGTTCCCATATTTGAAAGAATATTTTGAAGCGCACCCAGAGGTTGCCTCGAACCTTGGATATTCCGACACCAGTGTAGTCGAGCTCAAAAGACCTTTGTATGGTCTCAAGCAATCAGGAGCCTGCTGGCAAGATAAAGTCAAGCGTATTATGACTGAAAGAGGCTATCAACCTTTGATGTCTGACAACGCTATCTACATCAGCAAGAAAAGTGGAATTACCGTGGCATCTTACGTCGATGATTTCCTTTTCATAGGTCCAAATATGAATGATCTTAAGTCGCTATCGCAATCTCTGAACAGTGAGGTCCCATTAAATGACCTAGGCGATGCGCACTGGTTCCTTGGAGCCCGAATCAGGAAATCATCGCCAACTGGCAGCATCAGACTGGATCAGGAACAGTACCTTGAAAGGTCGTTCCAAGAATTTGGAATTTCCCCAAAAGTTGTCGAGACTCCAATGTCGCCCAGTGTGTGTGTGTTTTATTGTACTACTTGAGTCTATGACTATCTAGCACATTGGGCTCCTCTCTGACCCAGGCCACACCTTGTACAGTGCTCCTATCCTCTTTTGTTACTTGAAAGATCATTGATATATTCCCCTTGATGAATAGCCATTCAGCTCAGTATTTACCCGTGGAATTCAGCCACCTTTTCCACGGAACCTTCTACCCAAAAAAAATAAAAAAAAGTTAGCAACGGAAACTGCGAGTGCGAGAAAAAGACTCAAAAAGCCTGCAACCCCGGCCAGGCGAGGCCCAGATACCGGGATCACTCGAGGTGCACATATTCATCTATATCTCCCTTCTTTGTAACAGTCGAGGTCGACTTGATCCAATCCACCATCTCCGTATCGGTTGCTGGGTACGCTCCGGAGACTCATCGGATGGTTTTTCCTCCACGACCAAGGGTTGGTGATGAGTAGGGCTCCGACCCTACCATCTGATATGATCGTGGTTAGCTTCGTGATAATGGTGATAGGGGAATGTGTTGAGAGATGAAGACGATACAGACCGCGAAAGCGATTGGGAATCCTCATCGAAGTGAGAAAATGTCGCCCAGTAGTAGAGCAGATATGAGAAAGAATCCAAACAAGGCAACTGCGAAAGATCTATTCGAATTCCAAAAATTGGTTGGCAAGTACAATTTTTCATCTTGCATGACACGATGCGATACATCTCAGGCTACATCTCAAATGGCACGGTTCATGTGCAACCCATCGCCTCAACACATTCGACATATGATGAGGATTCCTCAGTACTTATCCGGCTGCAGAGATAGAGGATTGTACTATGAGAAAAACCATCGGCACCTGAATGAGTATGGAGTACTGGGGTTGTTCTATGCAGTGGATTCCAGCTTTGCAGATGACCATGATACGGCAAAGTCCACGACAGGATACGTGATATTTATGGCTGGAGGACCCATAATTTGGAGATCTAAGCAACAGAGTACGGTCTCGACATTAACTTTCGAAGCCGAATATGTCGCCATGTTCGAAGCAGCAAAGGATTGCGCATGGATTCGAAGCTTCTTGACCGAACTAGATGAAATGCCTGCTGGGCTTATAACGGTATTAGAGGACAATACAGGAGCTATAAAATGGGCTACTAACGACGGGATGACATCGGGTCGACGCCACATATGTGTCAACTATCATTATGTTGCACAGGAAATTCGAGATCAGAACATTTGTGTTAGACAGATTGAATCCAGCAGCAACCCTGCAGATGGATTAACAAAATCCCTAAGTGCCGATTCTTTCCTACAATTTACTAAGCAGCTAGGGTTGATGGATGGATTTTTGCTTAAGGACTGAGAGGGCGTGTAAGCAGACTTATGCAAGCATAAGTCCGAACCCAGCCCATAAGTGAAAGTATGATCTGCACAAGTACACATCGGTCTAGTAGTGATGATCAGGGGCGTTATTAGGGTAGAATTAGATATTATAGTGCTACGAGTCCATCGTGGCAAGGAGACAACTAATCAATTCATTATTGTATTCGCTTTTACCTTTTCACGATTCACGTGACACTCGCACGAAGACCTCTCTAAGTTTTACACCTTTCATGTATTCTCTTAGAAATGATGACTAATTATGTTGATGAGTAATGAGTTACCTGTTTAGGAATGGCGTCAGGAGAGAGGGGCAACTGCTGTAAATACGTGTTTCCTTTTGCTAGAAGGAAGAATAGAAGATATATGTTAACCATCAATTGTTATTACTGCTATAGAAAGCTTGTGATATAAATACCACCCGAGTATTCCGACACTACTTTTCCCTGAGCTACTATTGGCTGGTGGAGACTGGTCAAAGTTTCCCATACATCAGCGGCAGTTCACGCTGATCTCACTTGATGGTAGTCAGTGGGCCCTAGAGAATTTTTAATAATTACTCTTGCGATGTTTTCTCGGTAGGTCCATGCTTCAGCTTTATCTGTGTATTTATCTGATGGCTTTCTTTCATTTCCGATGACAATGTCCTAGAGATCACATATTTCTAGGCTATCTTTAATATGCCCCTTCCACGTTTTCCAATTGTTGTCGTCCAATTTTTCGAGACCACCGAGCATAGACATCACTTCACGTGGTACTATCGAAAACATGGTATCTCTTGAAGGCAAATTGTATCCAAGCTTATTCGTAAGTGATATACCTCCCCGAGGTGATCGGGTTGGCTCAGTGTCCTACTTCGACTGTGGGGGTAAGTGATCAATGTTCAAGTTTAATTTTGTCACGTTTCTTCGAGGACTTCCTGAATTTTTGTGATACTCAAATTGTCTTACTGCTTTTCGAAAAGCTTCTCTGGAGTTCGCCCATTCAAGTGGGAATCGCGGAATCATGGACCTTCTGGCCTTCCATTTACGCTTTGTTATACCTGATGGCACACTCTCTTCTGGTTCTTTCTCTGACGCCTCACGTATTCTCTGAATGACTGCTTCGTCAAGTTCGTCCGTGTAAATATGATCAGAGTCGATAAAATCACGGAGCTGACTCGCGCCTCGAGTCGGCTGGAATGACTTGCCAGAGCTCATTTGTGATTATAGCCGGCTTGGTGCTAATAACGTGTTAAAGATTTAATCTGTTCATAATTCTGAGCTTGATGATGGCCAGCAAGACGAAGAGTATCATGACCTGTCATTTAAGATAAAAGGTTGAAAAGGGCATTAATTAGAAGATAAGACCGATATAGTAAGGGGTGATTAGCTCAGAGTAGGTATGGGCATTGTGAATGTAGTCGGAAGCATCATCATACTGAAGACCAGTCAAGTGCGCGATATATATATATACACGTATCATATCCCTGTCACTTATTACAAACCCCCGCACTGCCATAAACACCGTCAATCTCTGCTGTCCATCGCAATCCCGAGTATCAATATGAGTTACTATTATACGGTATGTTTGTACGGGTCGACATCAAGATAGAAATGTTAACAGTGGTCTCTACAGGTTCATTCGTCTTTTCTCTGACTACCTCCTTTCCTTCCCTGGAGCAGCTTGCCTCCGGAGCCAGCTCGACGGGGGTGTTGGTGTTGAGACCACTGTTTTCTATTCTTATTGAATCAGAATCAGCTATCTCTTGAGCGGGAAAGATTGTAGACTTCCCGGGACGAAGGCCTCACTCGCAAATAAGCTTGATAATTTTTGCACGAGGCCAGTGGGTTTTGAACACATTTGTGTCCATCCAAAGCCGACGGTAATCGTCGACTTTGGTCGTTTGCTTTTCATCGGCGGCATTTTAGGACGCCTATCGATGGTCATCAATTCGAGGATTCAAGCACAGGAATGGCTATGAGAATGGAAAAAGGGGATTTTCGAATTACTCGAATTGTGTGTTCGTTATTTTTTTTTGTATATTAACGTGCTTGGCAATTGGCACCCTCCGCACTCCTACGGGAGCTTGAACACGAGTGGGGTCAGGCTGGATCAGGTTAACTACCACGAAGTACATCTACCTCGTCCCACCTCAGACTTCACCCGTGTGTTGATAGATGTCAAGCCCAACCGTCCAGAGAACCCTCTTTTGACGCACCGAAGCGCAGATTCCTCCTCAGCCTAGGCCAGCACGCGCCCAAGACCTTGACACCTTCGAGATATGTAATTTTTCCCTTCCATTCTGTCCCAGCTTTGGCTTATCTCAGCATCTCAGCATCTTCTCATCTCATTCATGAGTCGTTTTCTTCATTGGAGGCCTCATCCAGTCGCCCACCAAGACCTCCTCAGTTTATATTCCCTTTCTTTCCTCCCCCATACAGCATCCCTTTGTTCTTTAGCCGGCCTCGTCATCCTAGAAACTTTGTGGCGGAAAGCAGGTCGGGCTCTATTGTAACTTACAGGTGCTGTAGGGCGCACCAGAGCGCCGGGTAGTTCTTTAGGGACCGAGCCGTCCATCACGTGACAGTAGTCACGAGCTGTGGACAGGCACGACGTTAAATTTAATCAAAATTCATTTCCTAAATCGGTAGTATAACAAGGATGTAAGCTAGTTGGGAATGGCTTCGGTCCACTTCCCGGAGCAGAGGTATTCGACGCGAAGATTGTAGGCGCCACGAAAGCCCTGGAGGCTGCACTAACAGTGGGAGATGACCTACCGATTTGCATTCTTCTGGACAATCAAGCGGCCACTAACCTCAGCTGCGCCCAGTGGAGAAGATCAAGATCTAGCCTTTGCGGCATTAGGGGGGTGAGTTAAACTGCGCGGCCAAGAACTCGTGGAAGAATGATGGCAAAAGTATCGACCGAAGCGATACAAAGATCTGTACCTCTTCATGCGTTGCAAACGGCCACCGGAACTGGTTCTCCCGAGATGGGCCTACCATCGTCTTATTGCGGCAAGAATAGGCCACGGGGGCTATGCTGACTACCATCGACGTTTCAACCCTGAATATGAAGATCTAAAATGCGTTTGCGGCCGAGAGAAAAGGCCCTGGTATTTTTCAGAGTGCCGACCTGCTTTGCAGAGTTGGAGATGCTATGAGAAAATGGCCCCACGTGGGGCTAGGGAAATTATAGGGGAGAATGGATGTCAGAATTTCATTCAATTCCTAACTACAAGCAGATGTAACAGTCTGCTAAAAAATAAACAGGGTGGAGGGTGACCACGCTGAGATTGTTTCTGACCCGAGAGGAGATGGGTGTGGAAGATAGGAAATCGGCGCAGGGCACCGTAACTCAGAAATTTACTGTACTTTTCTATTTTCTTCCTTTCTTTTGTCGCTGCTGGCTTCATTGCCGGTCATGTAGGTAGCAATAAGCTCTCAGAGCCCTTCTACCGGTGTCACGTCTAAATAGATGTTAGGTTCTTTGTAAGGATTCTTGATAAATGCCTCAGGCAGGATTTATGTGTTCCTTGTTTAATCCCACTAGTCTTTATTGCTTAGCGAGGGCACCTATGTAGTTTCCATTTCCGAGACTGAGATCATCACACTTTGTTTTCTGTGTTTAGGAATAGTTACATTATTCTAGTCACATCTCACTCTCGTCCTCTGCCAAACATAGTGACCTACCGTCACCTCCGGCCCCTCTATCTAGAACGACTCCCCGCTTTCCCATTTACCACTTCTCTAGAAAGCCCTCCGCGTTCCCACGAGGCGTCCTTCAGTACATCGTACGCTACGCCCTCTCCTACGCCTAGTGAACCTGCGCCTGTCATTCTTCCTATCACGTAAAAGAATTCAAATTCTAATTCCTAAATCTTCCGAGCTTCTGAGTGACAAATAACCAGCAGTTTACATTGATTCACCATTGATCATCCTTGAACCCGATGCCAATGAATCCTCTGTAAGCTCTCACCTTTACAACACAATAAAAAAGCTTTCAAGAGAGACATATTTACTTCACACCCGTTTCTAAAACAAAAAACTGAAGAATTTGTCGTCAAACAATGGTAAAAAGACCGGGAAACTGAGTTGCTCAGGGAAGAGGGAGGGAGAAGGTGTAGCGGGCTCGGCAGGTACTATCAGAGCCAAGCTCAAACTGGAATTGGAGATGCAAGAGCATATTTACATTTGATTCGAAAGGTGGATGATGATGGGTGAAATTTCTGCCAGTCAAAAAAGCAGACAAAGAATTTCATACTCCATTGCATAATATTTCGAAAACAAGAACTAGTATCCACTGATATCCAGCCAAGGAAATCACCAATAATCTTAAGGACGAAGAGAGAAAGGGAAGCCTCACTACAATATTTGAAGATCTCCAAGTGTATATTAATAAACAAAGGCGATATATTAAACACCCAAAACTAGGGATTGGAGATAAATAGGGTTACTAGAGTACAAAATATTGGGAAAATGTTTTTGGAATGTTTATTCCTATGTGTCGATGAACCATGCTTGGTTATTGCTGTGTTGATAAAGTTAAATTGACGTAGCTGAATATAATATGGATCAAAGCAAGAAAAGAAGCTGACAATGATCGGATCAGATGGTAGGGTCGAAGCCCTTCTCATCACAAACCCTTGATCATGGACGAAAAGCCATCCGATGAGCTTCCGGAGCGTACCCAGCACCCGATATGAAGATGGCGGATTGGATCAAGTCGGCCTCGACTGTTACAAAAAAGGTAGATATAGATGAAAATGCGTACCTCATGTGGTCCCGGTGTCTAGGCTTTGCCTGGCTAGGGCTACAGGTTTTTTGAGACTTTTTCCGCGCACGCAGTTTCCATTGCAACCTTTATTTTTGGTATAAGGCTCCGTCGAGAAATTAGCTGAATAGCTATACATCATGGGCAATATATTGAAGATTTTTCAAGTAATAAAGAGAGTAGAAACACTGTACAAGGTGTGACCTAGATCAGAGAAGAACCTAATACGATAGAAAGTCATCAACTCAAGTAGCACAATAAACAAACGCACAATTAGGACTGCGATGGATAATAGTGATTGATGGAGTTTATGATAGTGTGGGATTGGTATGGACAGGCGTATACATGTTGCGCACTTGACTCCTCTTTAGTATGTTGATGTTTCTGAGTGCGTATATAATACCCCTAACTACTCGTGGCTAATCCTACTATAAATATTGGATTGACCTTCCTATATCTTCTCGCCCTGTTACATTTACATGATAGACCATTTTACTTTTCGTCTTATTGGCCATCATCCAGCCCAGAGTTATGAAAACATCAATTCTCGAACATATATAACTTCTTGCTAGCTCGTGTCACAACCCGAAGGATAATTTAAAGTCGCCGCGCTGACTAGCTAAGTGCACATAGAGAAGGTCACCTGCAGGGTTATTGATGAAATCAAGCTTGAACTTCTCATCGTGACATTCGGCTGGAATAGTCGTTTGAGCTCTGACTTTGCCGCAAGAGCTTGAAGTCCTCGACATTTTTATTTTGTTTTCTCACTTCGTGTCTATCATGATCTTTGTCACTGGGGCGCGCGTTGGTAAGCAGTAAGATGATTGTGCCGTTAGTCATGGTGCAGGTCTTGTGCGAGAGGGATTCGTCGCAGATGGCCATAAGTTTTCTGGTGCCTTTGATGCCGTAGTAGAATTTCTGCCAAATATTCTCTCGACCAACTTCGAGGTAACAATCCAAGGAATTGAGCTGAAAGAATCGTGTTTGATAGCGTATTTCAGTCTTCGCCTCTGCTCGGCCCCTACCTTCAATGCGTCCGAATTTGTGCCCTACAAAAAGGCGAATAATCACGTTGGCCGTGGGACTTGTCAAACCCTGATTCACAAGCCATTTCCGATTAAAAAGACGCGCAGAAGCTGCTAAGATTTGCCTGATCCGAATTGTCGCCAGTCAATTCAAAATATCCTTGATAATTGTATGGCCAATGCTCCTGAGTTGGCCGTGCTGAATTGGATCCCACAGAACTATCTGGGCTCAAGGATATTGTAAGTCTCCCGAAAACAGCTGTTGAAGTTTACGTAGGAGAATGTATCTTTAGCTACTATGAAGCTCAAAATATTGTGGAAGGAGATATGGATATAGATACCTAGGAACACATTCCGGGCTGGTTGAAGTGTGAGGGCTGGTCTGCGCCTGCAGACAATGCTTAGCGAGACGTCACGGTCTTCGAGGTAATCGAGTGCCTAGGCGTATCATCTATTTAGCAGACTTATTGCCACAGATCAATGGTAATATTGGCTTCGTATACCCCGAGTTGTGAGCAACTGAAATCCTCATGGATGTTGCAAATAAATTTCCTGGCGTTGACCTTTGTCAACTATCGTCATTGCTCCAACAGCAGCCAAATGAAACCGCCGTCCAGCATCAAACAAGATTGACGTCATGCAGGTCAGGGTGGACTGCAGCAATGTTGGTGTCGGGCATAATCAATCCATGTAATTATGCAGGAACTGTGCTTTTATTCAGCCTCCGCGACAAACGCTCGATTGAGCTTTACATCGTACCATGACACGGCCTATAATTTAGAAATTGTGTGAGAATACAGTGAGGACTCGTTACAACGATGTGATTCCGTGCCGCTATTTTGTTTCGTTTTAACGTTTTAGTGGAGAATATTATGACGTGATAAAATGGACAAACACATTTAATTACTCAATTCACTTAATGAATTCTTCACGCTTCCTCGCACATCAAACGTGATATCGTTCTATCTTCTCTTTTATTATAACCAGCTATTTAATGTCCCTTAATTTCTAGTAAGCTCTGCCTATAGCTGGAGGGTTTTTTCCATGCACACGATCATCGGGTACTCCATGGAGTTGGCATCTAGCTCACGCTCCTTGAAGCTAAGCAGGCGCTTGAGGTCATTTAGTGCATGATTAATTGTAGCAGGCAGCCCAGCTGTATCAACATTCTCGTCGTCATGTCTATAATCTTAGTCGCCATTTAAGAATATATTTGCATGAGGTGGATCCAGACTTTTACCAGGCATAATGAGATGTGTGGGGAAGTGCATGACATATCTAGGATTAAACTGGGAAACTGTACTCTTTGCCTTGATTATCAGGCATATGACTAATATAATCAGGCTTCAGCCAATGACAGGTATTCGATATAATAATATTAATTTATTTTATTGTCCTTTCTGAGCCTTTGACTACGGACATGCAGGTCCTCTCTGCCTACAGACCAAGGATACCTATGCCAGTAGTATACCCCATGCTATGCCTCCCATGTAGCTCCCCTCATACAGTACCACCCCTCACAAGTACTCATTCGATCATACAACTAGAGGAGCCCTTAGCCCTTCATTGTATCCCCTCTCCAGCCAACAAAACGATAGCCATTTGCGGGTGTATGGAAGCAGGGAAAAATCGCCAAAACTACTGGGTGCGGGGCTCTTCCAATACCGACATTAGGACTAGATCCGAAGACATAGTGACCCTTCCGAAGCGTTCGAAGAGGATGGGCATCTGGCCGCTGTAGACTTGTGTATACCTTGGGAAATTCTCCCTCTACCTTTCTGGCCTGCTTCCGACTCCTTCCCGAAGATCGTGCTGAAATGTCAGAAAAGTCTTGACAGAATGTAACAGCTGTATGATGGTTTAGCCCAACTTTGTTTGTGCTGTTTAGAGTTATGGGGAGTGCCGTTGATGCATCGACGATTGAAGTCCTCCTGGCTAGTTAACCGAAACCTTGTTCTTGGCGCCCACAAAAATTTCAGAGTTGAAAACCCCTCGAAAGTGTCCGTCCCAGCATGATCTCCAGAGACCTGTTCCCTCTCTCGCTCCACATCTTAACCGCCTGTTCCCCCCCTCAAGTTGTTTGCCCCATTAAAGCAGCAGTCCCCTTTAAGCTAGGACCCAGGCTTTGTGAATTTCAACTTGATTTCCTTCTTGCGGGTATAGGTAGCGTCGTAAACATGTAGTGAGAGATGGCTGGAAACTAATGGGGCAAGCTCCTGTTTGCAATTGGAGCAAATTCTTTAATGGTCGTCGAGGCGAGATGATGCGTGGCTAGAAAGAGGCTGAGGGCTCAGATGAGTATGGTATGAGAGGCATTGTCGAGAAGTCATCAAATGGAGATATGCTCGAGTTACTTTCGACTCCGATTCGAATGCGATTCTTCTTGGCTATCCCTGGTATGGAGAGCATACTGAGCGATTACACCGGCAACACTGGAAGGTGATGAATTCGAATTTGCCGGCGACATAACGATAAAATGGCGATAGCGACATCGGTATATCGGATATCATTGATTTGTTATATTTACTTTGAGGAAGTAATGCATGCACGAAGAAGATATCGTTACAAGGTGAATATCGTCATAACGAGTCCTCACTGCACTAGTCCCAATCAAACTGTGCGACACCTAGTTGCGCCCAAATTATTACCCAGTTTAGTCATCTGTCCCTCACTCTCATAGCAGAACGATAGTTCATAATTCTAAACCTGAATTCCATAACTGGTTTTCGGCTAATCGACTGTTCTTCCCGTGGCCTACCACAGAGCTAGGAGGGAAAAGCTAGGACTGCGAGTCATTCAATTGCAAGAAGCGCATGTCAACGAACAGCATTTCCACACCTTAAACATGCTTCCAAAAATTCACATTTGCTACGGCTATTGGAACCAATGAAAAGACAGACTCAGAGTTCAGGCCGCTATCCTTCCGCTCACGATCCGTGATTAGGAGATTTATCGAGACAAGGAGAGGAGAAACTGATACTGTTCTGATATAATATTGTACTGCTAGTCTGCATGATGAAAGTCGCCATACTGGACCTTGTCACACAAAGGATAAACATGGTGGCAGCCCTCAACATTCAGGGCCCTTCCTCGAGGGTTGGAAGGATTGGACCTGCTCCTAATATGAGGGACTACTGCAAGGATGTGCAACGTAGTATAGCCGCCTCTATCGTCAGCGCCTCCCTTACGCCTGGAGGCCTTACATACGTGTCCCAAATCTAGACTAGTGAGCGGCTGCAAACTAGCAAGCCGTCCTTTGCTTACAGAAGCTACTGCTGCAGGGTCCTGGGAACACCGACAATCTGGCTTACTAGCCCACCCTATCCCTCCTTCCCCTAACGCCATGCAGCCATTATCATCGTCGCCACTTTAGGCCAAGAATATAATGACATCATCACGGATGACGCACTAGTCTCACGCTGGTTGACAGGCGATGTGGCGTCTTCTGCCGAAGCGGTGCAGACACGGTTTACTGCTGTTGATGGCCTGTCGTTTGGACCAGGGTGGCATTTGTTTCGCGAATTCTCGTCAGCTAATCTTCACGATCTTTGGCCAACACTTGACACCGGTGACAAGTGAATCGGTGCAATTGAAGTTGTGATGGACCACGTTCCAGTGCCTTAATCCCCAAAAGGTCCAGCTAGAAGCTGCGCATAATCGTAGTTTGCAGAATCAAATGTGAGCCAGGTCAGTTCCGTGACCAAGGCAACGGACCCGTTCGGTAAGTTGTGAACGTGGTCACCTCTTTGAACCTCAGGCTGGTTGACATAAGTTCGTCTGGAATCCTGCTGCTTCGAACAAAGTTCTGTTCCTATGCTGCTGTTCCCCGGAAGTGATGACAGAAAGGTATGTGGCTCTACTTCTTTGCTTTCAACTTACTGTAATCCGACTCCCGCTCGTCTAAACCGGTCCTTACTCTCCACGTAATATTTCTCCGGTTCCACCAAATCTTTCATCAGTAGTAGTATACATTTATCTCTTTAGAGATCGCTCTACATTTTGCGATCCACATGCTTTGTAACCAACTATACACCCGGCCAAGAACGCCACAGCACTAACTACCTCTCCATGATCCATTTTTTCGGCTGACCAGTGATCTCCTAGCTGTTCCTACACTAACTCCAGTTTTAAAACACCACTTTCACACGAAAATCGCAGCCGAGCTTCATTAGATGTCGCTTATTTTTCAGTTCACTGTCTTGCCGCCACAGCTGGGGATAACAACACCAGGTTTTAATTTCCGATTGATATCAAGTAGTCCCCACTTATCTTCCCATTCTTTACCTGGTTCATTGAAATTAATCTTCCATGGTTCGTCGAACGCTTCGAACCAAAAGTATTCGGTACCATTCTTTAGAGCCTGACAAACCCAATCATTCATAAACGTATTGAGAGCGTCCACAGAGGCGACGCTACCACTAGTGCACGAGCTAGCACCCCCACAACTTATCCCTCCAGATGAAGGCCAACCAGTTTCCGAAATTATGTTCTTTATTTTAGGCTCTAGAGCAACGTTATGCTCCTGCCAAAAATCCCATGTCCAGCTAGCAGCAGCGTCTGCTGAAACACCCGCAAAAAAGGGATGGATATTGGCCATTAGTATATCTGTTTTTGAAGCTAATTCAGCTGTCCAGTCATCTCCAAGATCAGAGGAGGCAACTGGAAGTGTAATATCTTTTGCCGTGAGGTTAGCCTTGACGTCAGAAAGAATTTCTCCGAGCTCAGATGTTGTCATGTCTTGACGAAAGAGAACCTCATTACCAACTATTACACCCTTGAACAAAACAGGCCCATACTGGTTAAAAATATCGTACATTTGCGACAGTTGACGCGTATTCGTCGTGACATTTTTATCAAGCCAGACCCCCATCCATATCTTGACTTGTTGACTTAAGCCAAGCCGCTCAATTGAATGTATCACCATTTCAGTCTGGTTACAGTCCGTACCGTAGAGACGCACTGTGTTCGTGAGCTGAGAGAGGATTGCCATGTCTCGGGTAATGTTGTTTTGTGATGGTGGATCGTGCATACAGTCTGGGTACCGTGTGTGGAATGGAGTATAGTCAAGTGCAGGGAAAACCTTGTGGAGCTGAGGATTGTTTGCTAGAGCTTTAATCTCTGCAGAGTCTTTGTTAAGATCTCCATTTGTTAGTTGGTCTGTCGAGGCAGACTGTCCTGTTGGACTTGATTTCTCCGAGTTCCTTTTGCCTAAAATACCACCGACGACACCTCCTGCGATAGCACCGAAAGTTAAGAACCCTACAATCACAAAAACTAACATTCTCAGCTTGCTGCGTCCATTCGACTGCTTAGAAAGCCACTCGCTCTTTTCGCCTTGTCTCTCAGAATTAGGGTGGGATTGATCTCCGCTTCTTACGTTAAAGTAGGACTTTCCAGTGGCTTCAGGTTGAGTATTTGAAGTTTGCCCGGTGGTAGGGTTCTTCCCAGCTTTTCCTCCAGAAGATGTTGTCGGAAGGCTATTTCGATCTGAATTTCCCAAGCTCAGCATTGATGATCTATGCCGCTGCCTGTAATCTAGCCCATCATCACCGTCATCTTCAATACTGTTGGGGTCGAAATCTTCCAATCCAGGTTCAATGTTTCTTGAATATCGATAGGATACATCAACGAATGGATCTCTATTAAAGCCGTATGGAGACCTGGAGACCGTTGACCGAGATTGTGGTGTGATATTTCCAGGAGTGCGTGCAACGGCAGCCAAAGGTGCTGGCGATGATTGCGAGGGCTCGCTACTAGTATCCGGCCGACAGATAGGAGTAGACCGATTTGAATGATCGTCTGTTAAATCATTCATTTTGATCGTGTGCTCTGCTCTGGATGTCAGTAAGTCAGCCTCGGTCCCTTCGATGTGAACATCTGCGTCCCAATAATCGATTTCTCGAGCCGTATTTGTTGATTCGATTCCCCAATCTTGTATGGCGTGAGCGTTATATAGACCAGGTGTATAGTCAACGAAGTTTTGGTCGGGTGCCCATGCTACGGCCAAACTTTTTCGGTGGGGGGGAGGTGGTGGCGGAGAGGAATTGTGATTTAGTGTTGGGAGGGAAGGTAGGGTACCCTCTTGTCTGAATGAGAAGACTGGTTGAGGGTTCAAATTCTGAGAGGCTTCTTCTACATCAGGGTAGTCTGATAAAAAGTGGTAATTGGAGTGCGAATGTGTTTCCGGGTGCCGAGGAGAGTAACGGCGATAACTTTGTTGCTGGGGATGGTGATGCGTGAAGGAACGCTGATTAGTGAGTAACAAGCTGGGGTCTGACTGTGCACTGGGCAGATGCAGCTTTTCTGGCTCCGGCTGGGCAGGTAGTGGGTGGGGCCTTCCCTGGAAATTAGGTTCTTGGTCTTCAAAGGAGAAGCAGCGGGACATTGTGCCAAGGCTTGCCCTTGGTTATTAGCCAAAGTCTCGTCAGATGTGTTTTGCACTAAGAAATTCCTAGTTGGGTGCATGCGTTTAGTGCGGCTTGTTACTGATACGGTTAGACCGTGAATTTCTTTTCCCAGGGTGCAATGACGAAGGATGTTGGTGGACATACGCGAGCTCTTTGTAAATTTGTCTCTCAAAGACTGCAGTAGTTTTGTTTCAGCCCTCAGACGTTGGCAGGAACTCGGCCCCATTTATCTTATACTAATAGTGATCAGCTGGTCAACTTTTGTTGGTCAGGAAACCGATTCGGAGATGAGCTAGACGCGTCACTTGCACCTCCTACCGGCCGATGCTTTCATGTCGCGTCCATTAATCCTATGTCCACAGAAGATTCTGTTGATCTAACGAGCACTCAGGTGGCCGCCGCCCTTCATCCATTCCTGGGTAGCTGAAGGTGTCTTTTGACATACTCACCTCACAACCTCAAAGCCCTACTGACGCAAACAGGCTTATTCGCGGGCGCTTATATGGGCAAAATGATTGGATATATGATAGCTCGTCCAACAGCCACATCTGCTGAGAGATTCGATTGGGCACTTACAGCCGCCTGATATGCCTGCTATACTTCGTGTCCTCAAATTTCACAAAGAATACCATCAGCTTTGTCTGTAACTAATCGGTCTCTAATTGATAAAACTGGCAATTAATCTCTAATGAACTTTTTCTTGGCTTCTCACAACAAATTTGACTTGGATGCAGCAAGATACTGAAAGCTAGATTTGAATCCGTAACCAAGTAGGACATCCTGACGCGATAAACGATCAGAGCTCGAGTCTGCCTGATAACTTGTATAAAAAATGCTACTTTCTGGTCTAATATTTCATGTCACAATATTCACCATCTTCTCCGAAGCCCACATTATCATTACCTATCCTGGCTGGAGAGGCGATAACTTGATCACGAACAGTTCATTTCCTTATGGCATGCAATGGTCATATCCGTGTAAGTGAAGTGCGCAAACGAAAGAGCATTCGTCTCTCTATCCACGATATCATTACGCTGATATGAAGTTTTCTAGGTGGTGGTATGCGCACAACGACTAATCGTACTAACTGGCCGGTGGGAGGCGGGGCTGTTGCAATCCAGCCTGGCTGGTTTCAAGGCCACGCTTCAGCGCTCTTCTACATTAACCTGGGATATGGTACTGAAGGGCCGGACGGTGGTCCTCCAAATATGTCGTTTCCAATGGTACCTGTTTTTCAAATTACAGGCCCCTCAAATAACGCCTATCAGGGGTCCTTCTGCCTTCCAAATGTCACGCTGCCAGCAAATAACATTACTGTGAAGCCAGGTGACAATGCTACAATTCAGGTTGTAGAAACAGCTACTCATGGCGCCAGCTTGTATAGTGTACGTCAGCACCTACTAGTACCCAATCCGTCTTGAACGAACCCCTAGGATCTTAATTGAGTCACAGTACTACTCGAGACTAACTTAACTTCTAGTGTGTCGATATAACTTTCACGGAACCTGAATTTGTGAATGAGGTCAATAGCTCTAACTGCTATAATAGCTCGGATATCTCATTCAACGAAATGTACACTATCCCTGCACAATCTCTGGGATCACGAACCCCCATCACTGAGAAGATCATATTAATTATTGCCATTTTTCTATTCTACAGAATGTGATAATGAAAGAATTGCAGACGGAGAACAGTGTAAACACAACAAAATATCTAATAAAACTAGACTCTCCACAATGTTATCACTCGACTGTTATATTTTCATAGCCAAGAAGTTCATTTATAGGCGAAGGGAATGAAATAACAAATACGTTCGAAACAAGAGCCTCTTCGAGATATTCCGATAATCACCGATAAGTTTGCAGTAAAAATATTAAGCTTGCTCTCGGATCTAGTGACAGTAGAGTCGCTGGAACGTGAATAAATGGAGTCAAGTAATCGATGTCTCAGAGGTATTTTTTCGAAAGGACGGCCATGACGCCTTACTTCTGCGTCATGAGAGTAACGAGAACACGTACGTCACATATCAAGTGAAGCTCTGGTGCTCAAGAGCGATAAAACCCCCCCTAATATATAGAGTTCTATAAATGCCCACCAGTCAGTAAATCCAGCTATGTTTTTGTGCTACCCCGAAATTATAGTGCAATCAAATAAGGGTTCTGAGGCCCGGACCTGTATAATATGAAGCCCTTGGTGATCCGACTGACTGATCACAGGCCTCTTATCTAGCTAGGCTAACTTGCGATAGATGCCCAATAATTATGTGAGAAACATATATAGTAAATTCGGTACATGATCAGTTTTGTGTTCTCGGGTTAATATCTTACTCGGAATCAGATATATACCTATATCGCATGCAACACTGATGGAAGTTGATGCGAAATATAATGTCCGTTCGCAACTCTTATTTTACTTTTCAGTACAGGCTTCAAATATAGTTCATACTCAAAGCCCTTTGATCCATAGGCGGTGGATACGTCTAGCCAAGGTAGTATATTCTCTTGTAAGCCCCAGCAACTATGATTCGATCAAACAATTTGTGAGGTCATTCTCCCTTGGTCTCCTTCTCCAGCCTAAGAGACCAAGATAGTTTAAAATAAGACAGCCGGAAAAACATAAATGAGTCGCGGGGTAATGGGCTCCCCTGACGCCGACACCAGGGCTAGTTCTGAAGAATTAGTTGCCCTCCTGTAGTGTTCAAAGAGGCCGGTAGGCTGGTTGTCACAGAAATTTTCATCACAAAGGGATGAATTTTCTGCTCCCCCATCGTTCTTACAACTACCATCTACACCCGACCCGTAGTTGGTTAGGGGTTTTTAAAACGCCAGAAAAGCCTTGACACAAAGTGAGTGCTGTTAATTAGACTAGCCAGATCTCTTCATGTCTTTTTGGACAGCGGAATACATGTCAAGTACTTTCACAATAGTTTTACTGCCTACCGACAATTGAATCAATCTCGACTTCGTAGGCTCTACTTTAGGAGCTATAGGCTCGTGAGGAATACTGCTGACAGGTAGCCATTCTTTGTCTTTGTTCACGGTTTGAAATTGCGACACTTTTAAACGAAAAGATTGAGTGCTTTGCACCCCTATTCCGAGCATTGTCCTGAATCGCAAGGAAAAATCCTCCGGTTTTCAGATATCCTATGGTGGATAGGTCAAGAATGCCCTACTCCCATACGATGTCTAGGAAGGACGGAAAATTACGACACAATGTCAAGTGTGCATTCATTCAAGGTTGCACCAATAAGCCAAGAAGGATGTCGTCTTAGAAAGTTTCTGTAACCCAAAGTGTTATTTGTTCCCTGGACAAGTAGTACTGATGGAGTACTGTGATTAGTAAGTTCAACGTAAAAAAAGCAACTGAAGTTAATATGGCAAGCTAAGGTGAATGAGCTAGTTGAGCTTGTTTTGGTCGAGGCCGTTCAATAAATACATCTAAACAAGTGTAGCTGACACTATTAAAACAATTCAACGATGGAAGGCGACGTGGTTTGTCTACTGGTGGTGTTCTCCGTTATAGTTCGAGTAGCCTAGGCACCTACTCCATTCGGGAAGGAAACATCTAATACCATATTATGCGCGGAGAAAATTTAATGGATGGAGACATTTCTGGATAACTCAGGGTTTTCGAGACGTCTCTCTGGGTGAGTATTCAGGATGAGGGCTGACTTGGGGTGAAGAAAAAGCCACTATAATTTCGCAGTGATACTTGCATATAAAATCCGAGGCATGAGTGCTCCTCTTGTAAATTGAGTCATCTTTTCTGTACTTTTCTTTAGTGTTGTTTTATAACTAGATAGTTCCACATGCAAGTAGAATGTGCTGCGAAGCGATGAATTCTAATCCACTCACAACCCTGCCATGGTTGGATGGTGCAGTGGTCCATAATCTTGGTCAGTCTAGAATAGATGAGGGTTATTGCCCTTGCTGAACACAATACAAATCCGGACGGCTAAAGTTCTAAGTAAATCTGAATTTAGATGAGCTTATTTTCTGCCGATAAGTATTAAGGGTCGTGCCTTTTGGTCTATCTAGCAGGCAAGGTCTGGTTAGTTTAAACTCACAACCCATGCGAAAGAGGTGATTGCTAGTTCGAACCCGGTACATACAACCATATTTCTCGCGGCGCTGGTATGCATGGATAAAGAAGGCATGCTTGGATAACCAAAGGTTTTGAAACACCACTTTGGTGGGTACTTATAGAGGAGGGTCGACTGTTTGTGTAAGCAAGCATACCTCATAGTTGTATTTGCAAATGAAATCCAAAGTATGAGTGTCTCTAACGTCAAAAGATTAAACCTACATGTATACATAGCACTGATCATGTGTCGTAGCTATATATTTGTACAAACTTAAACGATCAAGAACTTCTAGTGGAATGAACAAGGGCTGCCATGAGGCCAGTTTGAAAAGCCTCGCCATGGCTGCTCCCTGCAAGGAACGGGCGACGTAGTTGCCGGGTCTCATCGAGAACTCTGACACAGACCCAGACGGCCGCTGATGGGGAAAGCTCAGGGAACAGGTATGGGGGGTGTAAGTAGTTTCGTTGCCTCTAATGAACTTAGCCCCCAGAATAGGTTGGATAGCCTAGTGGTCTGTAGTTTGTGCTATTCTCACAGGTCGGCTCTAGATAGCTTCGATAAATATATGGCTACTATGAATTTATGTGGACTCGCCTCACAAATTATGTGATCAAATGATGGTTGCTGAGGCATTTAAAAGATTGTACTACTTTGGGTGGACGTATCTTCCGCCCGTGGATCGGAGAGACCTGTATATCCCATCTACCCATAGACTGAGCAGGTAGAACCAAAGCACAAAACGCCCACACCTGACGCGTAAACGTGTCTACTAATAGATTTCGCCGTAGCACTTTTCCCCTCGTCGTCATGAGCCCTTCGTCCCTGTATCTAGGGACTTTAAGCGACGGTGGATATTTAAAGTAATCACCGACGCTTCTACTGGGTATTATTTCTTGGGAAAGGCTAAGCCGCTGCAGCTTCAGCTCAGCTATGAGAGCATTCCAAAGCTAGCTTTGCGCCAGGGGTTTGGTAGACTCTATCCGCGTTCGCTCCCTCGCTGGCTTACCGGGCGGCACTTTGTTAAGATCAGATGTATCAGTACCCGTCGAATGCTAGCCTTCCTAGGCTGCATAAGCTCGGTGTCGGATGAGCTGACTGCTATAAATAATTCGAGTTGAACTTCTACCAATCGCCAGCTTTGGAGCTAGATCTCTGAGCTGAAGGAGTACGAGGACGCGAAGAGCTCTGCGGTGCCGGTGATTCACCATCTAACGAGCTGTGAGCAAAAATGCCACACGGGTGGCGTGGCCGGCGCTTTGTAGCTAGTACTGGGGTGGTGTTCCAGGCGGCCTCTATTGTTTCTAACTCGCAAAGCATTGAAATATTGGTATGCGTGGTCTCATGCTTGTAACGGTCGGCTTACTCGAACTTCCAAATTCTCGTTCCGCCTGCGCTACAAGGCTGGAAGCTCGGTTGAATGGCCAACGCACGGTTGAGACTATCTATGCCAAATCAAACAACTCCAACAGCCCCAGGTACGATGATATTCCCAGGAAATCCGACTCTGCACGACAAATAATCACTCAACACCTACTGTCGGGTTCACGAAGAACCTCATTCAGTATTCCTTCCGCATTTGTGATCGGCCTTTGAACCTGTAATCTGCCTTGCGTGTCTTCAAAGAGTCACGTGTAGTTCGAATTTTGCGTCCATCTCCAGATCGTTTTTGCAGACTCCACAGCGCTACCGCTATCTGATCCACTCGACACTTGTTCTCAAGGTTGCAGGGGGCTTAGCAACAACCGTCCAAATGGAAGAGGAAGCACGATATTTTGCGAAAGCAGAAGGTCAATGTCAGACTTGATCAGGTTGCAAACTGAATAACATACGACAAATTACTCAGATGGCCACCTAGCTTTTTTCTACAGCAGGTTTAGGGTGTCTGGGAATGAAGATGATGATCAGTCTCCTCGACGCAGTGTCGCAGGAAGCACGGCTTGCCTGTTTCGACCCCATAATCCTTTGATGACTTGCTTCCAGGGACGAGACATACAACAAAATATGTAAGGACAGATCAGCTCCCTTCCCACTCCACTCCGTCTTCTTTTTGCTCTTGAATGGTTAATTTTTGTTTGTGCGCCTGAGGTCTACGATCAGCATTAGTCCCGTATCACAGCCTCCCAATAATCGAATATAGTGATAAGAATCATAGCCCGTGCCACATGTTCACCTTGACTCCAGGACCCTCCACGGAATGATGAACATCTGTGCTTCAAGTAGGTGAGACCCGGGATTAGAGCTATCATAGTGCGAGGTCCGTCCGCCCAAGCATGTACCTTATGACGCCTAGATAATATAAAGAGTGCGACGAGTTAAGGGTACTCCATCGCCAACTCTCAAGATCAAAGGTTCTTTTATCCGTTATTGAATACCTCATGAACTGGGCTGCTATCGCTGCTCCTATTAGCTACGATATCCTTGGGACTTTTCCCGATCTTCCAAAACTCAGCACTCGTCTATCCTATGAAACAGCCCTGAGACCCTCTGATCACTCCAACGTACCCGTTTAGACTTATTCCTCCACAGGCCGGTGCGGAATGCGCTGGGGCCTTTCTCGATTCGAATCGGCCATCTCCCAGCTC